CAGCTGGCAGCTCGAGCGCATCTTCCACGCCAGGTTCCCTTCCCCCGTCTTCAGGAGGCTCACCATGGCGGGCACCGAGGGCCACAGGGTCCCCCTCGTGTACCTGCCGGACAGCGTGTTCGGCAACATCTCCTTCACCTCTGTGGTCATAAAGTACACCAACATATCCCACGTGGGCGAGAAGGTGTTCGAGAAGTCCTACGACACGCTGGAGAGCCTCACCTTCAGCTACAGCGACCTGCAGGTGTATCCCGCGACGAACCTCCGCTTCTTCACTAGGCTCTCCACCCTCGACCTGTCACACAACAAGATGGTGTTCCTCCAGGACGTCTACTCGCTCAGCCTGCAGATCCTGAACGTCGAGCACAACGAACACCTCGCCTTTTCCGACAAGCTCCTCACCGTCGTGCCAAGTCTCCTGGAAATGTCCTTGGCATCCTGTGGCATCGAGAGCCTTCCTCCAGGACTCTTCTCGTCCGCTGAGGTCTTGTCCAACGTCAACTTGGAGGGCAATAAACTGACGCATTTGGGCGGAGGTGCTCTTGCCTTCGCCTCAAACGACGTCCTGGAAATTATTCTTTCGGACAACGAAATCTCCAGCGCTGATAAGGACTTTATATCAGGTAGGAAAACAACATATAACATTTTTTCGACTTTCATTTTATTATCAGTATAGGCTATTCATGTAAATCCCCGTATTTGCATTTTCTTTCCTAAAAACGTAAAAAAAAAACTAAAAGTTGTTAAAGGCAGACATTGAGTAATAGAAGCCCGGTATCAGATCAACGGTGATTTATTTCGTTGTAAAAGTACCATTCATCTTTATCACACCCGCTACGTCGGTATCATCAATCGGCTGTTTCTAAATCTGGTATTCAGATTTTTTTTGTGTGTGCGGGAGGAGGTTGTACGAAGCATTGTGTAATCAATAAGGTAGACGTTGGTTTATTTATGTAATCATTTCAAGTGATTGACGGACGGTATTTACATACATCAGCCTTCCATATCTATCCCTATAACACCCACACACTGATACATGTGTTTGTGTATCCATATGTATATATGTATATATATATATATATATATAATATATATATATATATATAATATATATATATATATATATATATTATATATATATATATATATATATATATATATATATATATATATATATATATATATAATATATATATATATATATATATATATATATATGTACACACACACACACACACACACACACACACACACACACACACACACACACACACACACACACACACACACACACTCACACACACACTCACACACACACACACACACACACACACACACACACACACACACACACACACACACACACACACACACACACACACACAACACACACACACACACACACACACACACACACACACACACATATATATGAACCGTATTCATGTTGACAAATGTAGAAAAGGTATGAATGGGAATGAATGCCTTCACAATACAAGAGATGTATTTGACCGGTTTCGATTAATATCTTCGTCAGAAATTCTCTCGATGCTTAAGGATTCGTCCCTTTGGAATTCATGAAGCATTTCCCAAAAAAACACCTGTGAAAAAAATATGTATATGTTAACAAAACGTAGAAACTAGATATTAAATGCCATGGTTTATTCGATAAATCATTATCAAAGCCAGTAGTGGAAATGAGTCTAATTTACTAAAGAGGATTCAGAGGGTAAAAATTTCCACCCATGACTTGCAATAATGAATTCCTCCTGATTCAATATTTAGTCATAGCCTTCCCGCCCATTGTGTTCAGACACAGGCTACTACTACCTTTGATTCCGCTAATGTTTTAATAATGCTAACATACCAATAAGAACGGCACCATACCTGATTTTAAAGGCTTGTGAATTTGTTTTCAGGTAAACACATCGATGTTGTTTACGGGAGGGAGAAAAATCCATTAATTTCATCTCTGATCGGGTGGATGATTTGGACCGATAAAATATATAGATACGTAAATGAATATGGAGATAATGAGCACCTCACTCATTTAATTTCATCACAATCTGATATATATCTGGGCGTAATACTATTAACAAAATATGAAACACCTTCAACTCTTCACTTTGGCCGTGTTGACAAGCAGAAAATCAACACCCTCCACTGTTGCTATCTATCAACCTGACCTGACCTATCTATCTATCTACTCTCCCTACCTACCTACCTATCTATATCTTACCCACTCTGCACCACCAAAAAAAAAAAAAAAAAAAACACCAAGAAGGCAACACGGACGAAAATACCATTTGAACCCTGTACTATTTTTTTTCCGCAATGAACCTACCTTTCTCGTGTTGAATAACTCCTTCCTGCTCCTAATATTTCAGGTACCTCGGCTTCAGTGAATTTAGTCCTAATGAACAACCGACTCGAGGAATTGCCTGAGGCAGTATGGAGGCCAGTTCTTCAGTATCTCAAGGACGAAAAAGGATCTGGCTTTGTGACCCTGGATGGTGAGAATAATCATTTAGTTAATATATGACTGTCATATTGATTTGATTCTAATTTTTTTTTATAGTCATTTTTTTATGAATTGTGATAATTTATTTCATTTTCGTTTGTATATGACTGTGATATTGATTTGATTCTAGATTTTTTATAGTAGTAATTTTTTATGAATGTGATAATTTATTTCATTTTCGTTTGTATATGACTGTCATATTGATTTGATTCTAGATTTTTTATAATTTTTTTTTTTTTTATGAATTGTGATAATTTATTTCATTTTCGTTTGTATATGACTGTGATATTGATTTGATTCTAGATTTTTTATAGTCATTTTTTATGAATTGTGATAATTTATTTCATTTTCGTTTGTATGTGACTGTCATATTGATTTGATTCTAGATTTTTTTATAGTAATTTTTTTATGAATTGTGATATCAATTTATTTCATTTTCGTTTGTATATGACTATATTGATTTGATTCTAGATTTTTTAGATTTTACTGTGATAATTTTATTTCATTTTCGTTTGTATGACTGTGATATTGATTTGATTCTATTTTTTCATTTTTTTATGAATTGTGATAATTTATTTCATTTTCGTTGTATGTGACTGTCATATTGATTTGATTCTTTTTTTGATGATAATTTTTTATGAATTGTGATATCAATTTATTTCATTTTGTTTTTATGACCGTTATTGATTTTGATTTAGATGTATTGAATTGTGATGTCAGATGTTTATAGTATTTCGTTTGAATATAACAGTGATATTGAATTTTTTTTTTTTTTGCATATTATTGATATTAATTTCTATTTGTTTTTTCCTTCATATGACTGATATTAGATTTAGTTTAGGGCATATTTTGCATATGACGGTGATATTAATTCGATTGTATAAAATTATTTTTTTTAATGAAAAAGGGAAACAAAAAAAGAAGGGGCCACCAGTGTTGTTTGTTTTAATAGTAGAATTTTCCATAATTTCGTTACACGATGATGGAATAATGGCTTTGTTTGTGTGCCAATGTGATAATCGCCATTGAAAAATTGATTCATGTACATATGTGCATGTATATATACATATGTACATACACACACATGCATGCATACATACGTGCATACGTACATGTAAGCATGTATATATTCAGCATACATAATACATACATACATACATAAACATAAACAAACAAAACACGCACAGAAACAAACGCACAAGCACATACAAACACATATATAAATATAATACATGTATAGTATATATATATATATATATATTATATATATAATATATATATATATATATATATATATATATACACACACACCACACACATATATACATACATATGTATATATATATATATATATATATATATATATATATATATATATATATATATATATATATATATATATATATATATATATATTATGTATATATATAGATGTAGATGTATATAGATATACATAAGCAGATAGGTAGGTAGGTGTGAATAAAGATATAGCCATTAATATTTAACTAGATAGACACAGATAGCTAGACACACACAAATACACACACATATCACTAATGTATTTGATGTATCATTCCACTTACCACCGAAGTCATGTCCATTAATCTAAATCCGTATTAATCTCATATTCAATTTCCTCTGTTATTCGAAATATCTAAATTACTGCATTTGATTATGTGTTGACATGGTGTAATGAATGATTCCATTTGATTCCGACCTTATGTACAGCTATGATAAGGGGTGTTTTATGGTATTCCCTTTATAGAAGGATAGAAATTGAATGTGATTATAACTTGGGTTTTAGATGTGCTACCCGTTGCCATGGTGACTGAAGTGATGCAGATGTGTGATTCATGTTTAATTGATCTCATCTCGGAATAGATGATGACTAATGGCATAGCTTTGATTATGTTTGTGTTTGTTGAAGTGAATGTTGCACTAATCTCTTTCTCTCTCTTTCTTTCCTTTCTCTGTCTCTCTCTCTGTCTCTCTCTCTCTCTCTGTCTCTGTCTCTCTCTGTCTCTCTCTTCTCTTCTCTCTCTCTCTCTCTCTCTCTCTCTCTCTATCTCTCTACATCTTTACATACATTCACATACATATACACACACACACACACACAACACACACACACACACACACACACACACACACACACACACACACACACACACACACACACACACACACACACACACACACACACACACACACACACACACACACACACACACACACACACACCACACACACACACACACACACACACACACACACAACACATATATATATATATATATATATATATATATATATATATATACATATATATAGTATATATATATATATATATATATATATATAATATATATATATATATATATATATATATATACGCACACATGGTTACATATATTTCCACAAACATATAAACGCATGCATAAGTATAGGTATAAGTTTGTATGTTTCTCTATATGTATAATATAGTTCCTATACATGATTTTGCAGATAAGGATTTATACTAATGGCATGCGACAATATGTTTCAGGTAATCCCTTTTTCTGCGGGTGTAAAATCGCATGGTTGGTGACCTCTCCTGACCTCCTGAATTACATAGCCCGAGGCGCGACCTGTGAGGATGGCTCTCTCATCCATGACCTCAATCCGGAATACTTTACTGACCATTGTTGATATATTTTTTTCATGCATATTTTGTATAAAGAAAGTTTCAGTTCGGTGCATGTGAAAGCGGTATATTTTTTCGTGTTTATTTTCATGTCCCCTTTTTACTTATTGTTTATCGTCGCGACTGTGTTATCTTTTGTTATCTAATCGTGTTTCATATTGTGTTTGTAAGCTAAGAGCCATGTGTGCGTATGTTGGTGTGTGTGTGTGTGTGTGTGTGTGTGTGTGTGTGTGTATGTGTGTGTGTGTGTGTGTGTGTGTGTGTGTGTGTGTGTGTGTGTGTGTGTGTATGTGTGTGTGTGTGTGTCGTGTAACTTTCTCTCTCTTTCTCTCTCTCTCCTCCGGTTTCCTCCTCATTTCTCTCTCCATCCTTGTTTTCCTCTCCTCCTCCATCCTCTCTCTCTCTCTCTCCCTCCCTCCCTCTTCCCTCCCTCCCTCCTCTTCTCTCCTCCCTCTCTCTCTCTCCCTCTCCGTCCTTCCCTCCCTCCCTCTCTCCCTCTCCCTCCTTCCCTCCCTCCCCTCCCTCTTGATACATACAAAGTTATGTTTGACTGAAACGGAGACGTTGCTGAAATAAAGTGGCGCACTCTTGTATATTACTCTATATTGTAAAATATGATAATGTAATTATACCCTGATAGCAATAGCAGTGTTTGAATTGGAAATACATTAGGAAATTTCCTGATTTACATACTATCATATTTTGGGGATAACAGATCTATTATCATTATCTGTTCAAAAGAGCTATTTGAAATAAATGAAGAGAAAGGCATATTAGGATGATTATAATGCTGTGATTGCCATCATTATTATTAACTGAAATTTATTTGCTCCTGTCTAAAAATACATAAAACAGAAACCTAAACACACCCAAATTATTTAACCTTTAACGCTCTATTATATTACGTTTTCAACTGTGTATCGATTTATCGTATTTACACTAACGATCGAAGGGTCATTGTATTAATAATCAATTATGCAGTATATAGCCATGTGTGCGTATATATATTTGTGTGTATATATATATATATATATATAATATTATATATATATATATATATTATATATATATATATATATATATATATATATATTATGTGTGTGTGTGTGTGTGTGTGTGTGTGTGTGTGTGTGTGTGTGTGTGTGTGTGTGTGTGTGTGTGTGTGTGTGTGTGTGTTGTGTGTGTGTGTGTGTGTGTGTGTGTGTGTGCGTGCGTGTGCGTGTTGTATGTTATGCGTGTGTGTCTGTATGATTCCGCCAAACACGAGAACAACTTTACACCCTTATTCATCAGTCCCCCCTCCCTTCCGTTTTCCTTTCCTTCCGTTTTCTTTGACGGGAGGAAACATGTCCAGTGTTTGAACTTCGGAGGCGAGTGATTATGAAAGGTAAACTCAGTCTTCAGAAGTGCAGCTTACGACGGCCAAGTTGTAATTGGGGAAAAATGAATGAATGGAAGAAAACGAAGGAAACGGAAAAGGGAGAAAATGCGAAAAGAGTAAATGAGGGAAGAAGCGGTGTAGATATAACGGCAAAAGAAAAAGACGTAATTTCTTCGAGAGAGGAAATAGTAAATAAATAAATGGAAAACTCGAAGAAGAGCAGGAATTAGACAGAAAAAGGGAAAGAAAGAAAGAAAGAAAAAAAAAAACAAAGTATACGTTTCGCAAGATAGGAAAAAAGACAAGTCGGTAGATTTTACATTAGGCTGAAAAAGAAAGAAATAGAGAAGGAGAAAAAGACAAGAATGAAAGAGACGAATACAATACGGAACAACAACAACAACAACAACAAAAAAGAAAATTACAAAACAAGAAAAATAAAGAATTAGAAAGTTGGAAGAAAAAGGCAAATTCACATACATACACACCCTCTTAAAAAAGAAAGAAAGAAAAAAAAACGGAACAAACAGACAAAACCAAAGAAAACTGCAATGAAAAAAGAAAAACGGTTAGCTGGCAGAAAGAAAGAAAAAAAATATAAATTCATATATATGCACACACTCTCATCCAAACCTGTGTTAAGCAATTGCTTTTGTTTCATGTGGAGTCCACGCACACACACTGAACACACAGCGCCGACTAAATGCTTCTACATTATTACATGAGATAACCTGCTTCCTGCGCCTTTTATGAGACCTCGGCGAATATACTGTGAAATAACATATTCTCAAAAACAGGTATTGTGTGTGTTTATTTCGGTTTTAGTGCGTTGCTCTATGTCCTTTGTAATTAACATGGTTGGTAATGACTGCTGTAATATTGATGATAATGATTATGTTAGTACTCATGTAGCTATTATTGTTCTTTTCTCATTCTTACGATGGTGATTAGTAATGCTGTTCTCGTTATTATTATTATTGCTGTTATTGCTTTTCATATTATTATGACCATCGCCATAATAACATATATCTTAAGAGTCTTTCATATACACAAACACGTTGTTTATATTTCAACATAGCTGTTGGTTATTAATACATGAAAGCTCTCCTAGATAATGATTTAAAAATGCTTTGTATTTACATTACACATCAAAACGATTTTAACACCAACCCGCAAGAGGCAAGAACGTATATATACACATCATGTAAACGCAACGGTTGGTCAGTTTACAACCCCCCACCCCCACCGCCACCCCCAACCCCTCCCCCACCCACGTTTTCCTTTACGAGCCCCACGCCAACCCACACCAATATCACACCGGCGCAATTTCCCCTGTAATAATCCCACGCAATGTGGCGGACGCTCTCGTAAGTTCTCTATGAATGAATTCAGCGCTGGCTTGACTTTCACAGCGTAGGGAGACCGTGTGTAAAGCTATAGGTTTTGACTCTTATCAAAATAGACGAAACGCAAACTCACGCCCAGGCCATCAACTCGGACTGAAATTACAGTGTCCAAATCGGCTTTTGATAGAGTGGAACTGTGCTCTTCGTGTACAATAAACTCAACGAAAGCGTAGACAGTAGGTCCAACTAACAATTATTAATGCAACTCAAACACAAGGTAGTACAATTATTGTAAAATAGAATATGTTCCAGTTTAATTAATACATACCGCTTGCCTCGTAAGTTATCAAACACATTGTGCTCTTCTCGTTATTACATTTGGTACTGTACTGTCTCTGAGAACTTAAATGTACTGTGACGTAGCAAGTAGTACATCGTTCCTCCTACCGATCTGTATTTACTCTTAATAAAAATAATGAACTCGTAATCTTAATATATATCTCGTTACAAAATACTGTAAGATAAATATTCGGTTTCATTCTCACCTGGTTTTAAGGAATGTGTTGACAGTCTTGCCGTGTTAAATAAGATGGAAAAAAATACAACCGGTATTTCATTCTCTTCCACCGACTTTCCATCCTTTGACACAGACCCGAAAAATAACACTATTGTTCACTCTTTGAAATGCTTCTTTGAGATTCCATTTTTCCTTTTTCTTATTACTTCTTATGTCTTTGTTAGGGACGTTTCATATGACTCGTCTCCAGGAACTAGAACCGTGAAACCTTGCTGTGGCTTCCTCACACACCTAGAAATAGATAGGGAATGCAGTTATTGCCAGCCTCATAAAGGGCTGCGGGCGTCCATTAGAGACAGCGTGACGAAAAAGTCTCGAGATAGAGGAAAGACGGTCTAGAATTAAGTGTCTGGTTGACCTAAAAAATCGGAAAGGAAAAATCTGCAAATGAAGAGATGGAAGTGACGAAAATACTTGTCTGTTTACTGTAGGCCTATCGAACTTTCCACGCGGCTTGGTGAAACTGAAGTTATATGACAAAGTAATGTCTACGAAGGCATATAAAAAAAAAAAAAAAAAAAAAACTTTTTTAATGATTCTACAAATGAATTGTAAAAATGAATAGTTTTTTTTCTTCAGGATGTGAATAAAAACCCCCCAGAATATTGAATGGATCTGTCGATGACCATTTGGCTAGTCAAGTAACTGCAATAGCTGTATTGTCGATGCCAGACCCAGGCCTCGCATTCCAAAACTGGACATGCGTTCCAAACAGTTCAGACATGAATGGTCGTTTCAAATATGGGGGAAAAAATGAAGTTGAGGGACTGTAAAGATCTCCCCATTTTGATCGACAGGAAAGCGATTTTACAGTTTCATAGATCACGAACGATTAAATCAGAGAGACCGCACATTTCGACATGACGTCACGCCCAGCGACGACCGCCATCGGCATTCGTAATCCCGAATCCAAAATCGTTACACCCATGACGCAATGGAACGCGACAGACCCCGACAGAATAATAAACAGGAGTGCATAACGTGAAGCCAATGCGGTCCTGCGGGAATATCCGGTCTGTAGGTCTGTTTACTCGCCGCGAGTCCATTTGTCTCGTCCGTGAACTCTCCTTCGAGTCGCCGGGAGAGTTTGTCGTTCTTCTTGGGCGATTAGAGCCAAGTCTCTCGCTCGGTCAGTCCATTTCTCGACGGAAGAAACGAGGTTGTGGAGGGGGAAGGGAGGGAGGGAGGGTGAACCCCATGGGGGAAGTAGAGGGACAGGGGCAGGGTGACCCATGGGGGAAGGAAGGGAGGGGCAGGGTGAGCCATGGGGAAGGGAGGGGGGGGGGGTCCAGGTGAGGCCATGGGGAAAGGAAGGGGGCAGGGTGACCCATGGGGGGAGGGAAGTGAGGGGGCGAAGGGAGGTGGGGGGAGCGCATGGTGAGCCATGGGGAAGGGAGGGAGGGAGGTGTGACCCATGGGGAAGGGAGGGAGGGGGCAGGGTGACCCATGGGGGAAGGGAGGGAGGGGCAGGGTGGAGCCATGGGGGGAAGGGCGGGAGGCAGGGTGAGCCATGGAGGGAAGGAAGGGAGGGGGCAGGGTGACCCTGGGGGAAGGAAGGAGGGGCAGGGTGAGCATGGGGGAAGGGAGGGAGGGGGCAGGGTGAGCCATGGGGGAAAGGGGTCGGGAGGGGGCAGGGTGACCATGGGGGAAGGGGAAGGGATGGGGGGGCAGGGTGAGCCATGGGGAAGGGGGGAGGGGGCAGGGTGAGCCATGGGGGAAGGAGGGGGGGCAGGGTGACCATGGGGAAGGGGACGGGGGCAGGGAACCATGGGGGGAAAGGGAGGGGGCAGGGTGAGCCATGGGGAAGGAGGGTAGGGCAGGGTGAGCCATGGGGGAAGGAGGGAGGGGGCAGGGTGACGCCATGGGGAAGGAGGGAGGGGGCAGGGTGACCCATGGGGAAGGGGAGGGCGGCAGGGTGAGCCATGGGGGGTGATGGGGGGAGGGGGCAGGTGACCCATGAGGGGAAGG